TTCTCGGTCAGGCACAGAGCGACGAAGGAGTCCTTGGTGGTGATGAGGTTTGATATTTTGTTGAGTAGGGTTGCACTAAGGAAACTTGCAAGTTCTGCTTTCCTTTCGTCAGACACGCCCCCGTCATGGGAGCGTATCCGAGCCCGGTGTGCCATCATTTCAGAGAGTTCTTGATGGACAGGCCACCGTTGCATGGGTTGAAGCAGGAAACCTACCTATTCCGGGAAAGAAACCTGTCGCGGGAATTACAACACCCTCTGCCGCCACTTGTTGGTCGAGTGGTCGTAGAGTGGTTCCGGCGACTCTACGACCGGAAGCCCCGTCAAGGGAGCTTACTTCCCGAGTGTTAATGAATGCTCACTTATAGACGAGAGCTAGTGAACCTACTCAGGGGGGAGGGGGGGGGATTCAGGAATGCGATCCCCTTCCTAGTTGGACCCTCACGATCACGGTTACCCAAGAAGGGATAGGTTATGCTCCTACTTCTTTTCGTGTTCACAAATCCTGGGAGGGAGGTGAAGAGTTACAGGGGGGATCGAAGGACGACTGCACCTCTAGGGTGTAGGTCCCCAGGCCAGAGCGAAAAAGAAGGAAGAGCAAAGGAAGAACAGCCACTGGTGCAAGTAACACCGGTGGAGTCGCGGCCCAAATCTGCTGCAGGAAGCCGTTACAGAGCACCCAATCTTGGCCGCCTCTGATCAGAAGACACCTCTGAGCAGTGAGGGCGACACAGAAAGGGCGTTGTCTGGAACAAGCTTCCTAAGTGTTTAAGTGGTGGTGAGTGGCATCAAGTGATGGTTAGTGAGGTTGTCAACAGTTTGAGACAAAGGTAATTGGCTGGCTTGGGCGGTGAAGGGTCTGGAGAGAGGTCCTATCACGGCGAAGGATGGCTGGCAACCTTATATAACATCAGGTTAGGTGAATAACGTGGGATCCACTAATCCACAAACCACCTCCACCGCAGAACGAAAGAATAGCTTATAAAAATGGGTAACATAACAACAGGTCAGGTCAAGTCAGGTAAAAAATAAACAAAAACACATGAGACCCACTTATCATTTATCCTACATCCACCACAAATGCTTTCAAATCATTTGTAACCTTAACCCACTGACAAATAAATTTATGTAACATATTATCAGTTTTGTGCTGACCATCACTTTGGTTTATAGAATTCATTTCCTTTATTAGACTTAAGAGCATAAGAATGGAGGAAACTGCAGCAGGCCCATTGGCCCATACTGGGCAGTCCCATTTACACCCAACCCCTATCGCTCACACTGTATATCCGTCCAACCTAGGTATGTTTGAAGCTATCCAGTCTTTCTGTGACACATGTTGATTTAAACACTTCTAAACTGTTTTCCTAATCTATGGGATGATTATTGTTCCTTATATGAACGAACAGTGCACTGCTTTCAGATGCTGTTCTAATATTGTACTTGTGCTGTTTAATTCTAAGTTGTAATGCTTTCCCAGTCTGACCTACATAATTTCCATTACAATTACTACATGGAATGCAGTAGACATTTCCATTTACACTCAAGGTTGGACTGTTCTTAATTAACATATTAGTAATAGTTGCTGTCTTGAATAAATACGAAAGTTATAGTGTTCCTTTGTTTCCGTTTTCCTGTGCTCAGATATGTAAGTTTAGAAATAATTTCTATTTACTATATGGCCTCTGTCAATATTGCAAGCATCATTCTTTTGTCTGTTGACATGGAGTTCTTCAAGGATGGGACCTGGGCCTCAGGATCCTCTCGGTTCTCAGCAAAATCTTGGCCATCAATTTCATCCAGCATGGGGACATTTTGTTGAATGGCTATGCTGTGTAGGCCTGCGCAGCAACTGTCATCACTTTTCTAATCATATAACAGTGCAAATAATAATTATGCAAATTTAAACACATTTTAATGAGCCTACTTTATATCATAATGCATTGCTTCTTATCACAATCTTAGATGTTTCTTATCCACTTTATATCAGTGAAAATTTGTGGACCTATAGTTAGGTATAGACTTTTTTTTATGTTTTTTTCTCTTCATGGCAGAAAATAGCTCGAGTAATATAAGTATCTAATATATCATTCACATAAGCTAATGCTGGAATGCCTACACTAACCTCTGTAAACTGTAGCCGAGTGAAAATATAAATAACTTTAATCCATGAAGGAATTAAACATGAATTGTAACTCTTTAGGTTTTACTTAAATAAATAAGTAGTAAAATATTACAAGATATTGTTGGCAAAAATATTGAATGATATAACTGACTCTAAAAAAAATATTTGATCATAGTAAAAGGCCACTATATGCTCTCTACATTGATTTTGTCCCCTAAAGTTTGAGTATGAAATAATGGAAACATGTCGAGATATTATTGAAACATTCTTCTTGCTTGGCCAGAGCAACTCACATTTTTGCTAGGATCAATACACATTAACGAAACTATAAACTCTCTCTTACTTTACGTGATTACATTAAAGCTATAATTGAAATAAGGTACGGGACAGGTTTATTGACATCAGAGTGATCGGACCTCTATAATTCTTGAGTATCGCAAGAGCCTCAAAAAATTAGAAAATGTTCTCTATATTAATACATATCTTTTATTAGTAGCATTTATAATTTCTTGAATTTTTTATTAATATAGAAGAAGAATTTAAGATATCAATATCCTACGAAATAAATCATTATTTGGTTTTGCGATAGAATCTGGCCAGCCTCAACCCTCCTCAAAATTTTGCTCCCAGATTCCAATATTTTTATGAACGCACCAAATTTTGTAAACGCCAAAAAACTTTTAACATAAAAATTTTGTGTTGAGGAGATTTTGCAAACACACAATTCACATTTAATTTATGGCCGTCAGTCCAAATTCCCAAGGCATCAACTGCATTAAAGCCAGCACATATATTTGAAATCTTGCTTCTCTTAATGTTTTTTAAGTTTGAATATTACAATCTATAGTTCTCGCCCTTTTGACCAATACATGAGCTGGGATTCTTTCTCACTCATTTCAGTGTACCACTCTGCGAAGCTAAGAGGTTGAGATTAATTTTCTTAAAAACCATAAATAAAATTTAGTTTTCAAGTCAGAAACTGATTCCTTGACCCTAAAAACCCGATCGTAGACACACAAATTACTGTCCTGTCTAATATAGGAAGGCAGATATGGCTATTTGTAGGGGGTGACAGCGGTGGCCACTTTGGATTTTCTTGGCTGATCGCCAAATAAGGAATTTCCTGGATTGCATCTATCAGAAGTTGTTTTATACAAAACATTATACCACTCTGCCAAATTTCATGCTTCTACTAAAAAGTAATCATTTATCATGCTTAACTGCTAGACTATAGAGAGCTGGCGAGCAGGCTGTTGTGAGTCGAAGGTCTTTCCATTTCGCAACAGTGTTTCGAAACAAACATTACAAACATTGTTGGTTTCAAATAGCTTTATACGGCAGCAAAGTCACTTAATTATAACGAAATAAACATTTCAAAACACAACATGTACTGTACATTGGTCATTTGTGTTCAGCGGACCCAAAAGTTTCAGCTAAATGTTCTTAAATCAGATTAAAAAACAATTTATCCCCCCCCCCACCACCCACCCTGGAGACGATATAGGGCTGCAGCCAGAGTTTTAACCCGGCAGCAATGCATTTTGGGGATGTCAGAGGTAAGTAAGTGCAGTATACGTACCTTCTATGTAGAGGGTCAAACCTTTTGTAGTCAGAATAAACCGTTTAGGCACCTGATCTATACATTATCAAGGAATACTTACTTGATAGCCTTTATTTCGGAGTATCATAGCCAATGGATTAAACATAGTCTGTTTTGCATCAAACCTCTAATTTTATTTTTTCATTGAAGTTTTGGGATTTGGTAAAAAATAACGAATCTTTTACCTGTAAACAATTTCAGGTAAGTGGAACTCTGGCCGGAGTGAAGTGGGGGGCGGGGGCACTACCCCCTTGGATACGGACTTGGTTACTGTTGTGTTTTCAGTGTTGCAGTGAAGGGAAACTAATTGACAGTTGTAGTGCAAATCCCAATTTTGCAGGCAAGGGCTGTAAATGTCCATAATGCTCGTGATGCGTGTAAAGTTCTCCCATTTACTGTGTTTATACTGAAATAATTGTAATTATACACCTATATCCCATATTGGCAAAATTGTAATCTAGAATGTACTATAAAGAAACCAAGAAATATTGTATTGTTAGCTACAATGCTAGAACTTGTGACAGGGAAGAGATGACGCCCTTGACTTATCTTGGACTTTTTCATCCAAAACATAACAATTAAAAGTAAACTACTTGTGACATGTTTACATGGGTTATTGTTTATGTCCACCTCTTCTATATTCTGTTTATTAATTTTTTTTTTACAGTTTCCTGCTATGTAGACTCGCTCTAACTCGCCAGAGGACCTTCAGGACACTTAACAAGTACGTAAACAACTCTTCCTTCTTCTCTTCATCTTTTTCTAGTGTGGATTACTAAGTCGTTTGTATCATCCTTAATTTTTAATAATTTATGAATTAGTGTAAAACAAACACAGGATCATTCTCTTGAACTATTATGGATGAAAAAAAAACAACTATTGGACTGAAATGAATATTATCACTGATTATTTATTATGCACCATATGCTACACTTATAGGGGAAACGGCAATAAAATTAGCAACAACATTTAAGAGACACTGCATTTAAATGTTACAAGTAACATTATAATAGATATGTATATGTGTAATAAATTAATGGAGGCAATGTCTTGGAATACACAGCATCCCATAACCTTGACAAAGAAGTAGCAACACAAAGGATTAACCCTTTCCCCCTACATGGATACATACACACACACACATACACACACACACACACACACACACAGCATATAGGCTACATGGGTCACGCGCACCTACAGTGATTTATTTGTGTGTGTATATATATATATATATATATATATATATATATATATATATATATATATATATATATATATATATATATATACACATTCTCACTCTCGCAAAGAATACAATATAGTTATGTTTGAAGAAAGAGCATCGGGCAAAACTAATAAATAAATATATTATCCTAACGGGTCATTAGTAAACAAAAGCATTGTTAAGTTAACTCTATGGTCTGAGTACAGTACAGTACGATACAGTACAGTACAGTACAGTACAGTACAGTACAGTACAGTACGATACAGTACAGTACAGTACAGTACAGTACAGTACAGCATATACATTCTTATTAAACAAAAGAAGATAATACATGAGTGAAAATAGTACCTATATTTGAGGACAAACTTTGAACAATGAAAATTAAATATTGCATGAGCAACTTTTCAACATACAAAGGTAGAAATGGCTTATTAAATTCTCGGATTTCTCGCCAAAATAAAATACTGTCAAAGACCAGCCACGAGTTATACGTTTCTCTTTTAAAAATATAAAGTTCATAGAATTAATGATGCCTCATTAACTCAGTCAGATCTATCAGTTGATTTTGTGGCATTGTTTCTGTATTTTAATTTTACTTCATTAATACCTGCAACATTATTTCATTAACCATGCGAAAATATCTGGACATATATACCAAAGGTTTCTTTGACCCAAAACAAACCAAGAAAATATGTATGATATACATGACACGGGCACTCACTTGTCATGTATACAATTTATTCTTACTAAAGGTGAAAGAGAACTTGGCTCCTCATTCATCACGTTGTCTTAATACATACGAGTGGCAGATTTTACCAAAGATTATGGACAACCAGTACACATTGTGTGATGGTTAGCAAATGATCTCAAGTATTATCACCTGTTATTCTGAACTATGATAAGTGTGCTGTAGATCAACATGCCATGTACTTGTTACTTATATAGAAATCATGAAAATCAATAACATATATGGAGAAAAAGAGGGGAATTAAATTGGGAAATTTTGGAAAGAAGTACATGAGATTTGAGGTTAACATACTGGGATCTTAACCAAAACCATATGAGGATATAAATGCCAGTTGATGAGTGGCCCTCCCTCTCTTGTGGGTCAGTGAGGTACTGTACAGTATATTCCATGTTGGTTCCAATTAAAAATGAGAACACAGTGGGATGAGATCAAGTCCCTTAGTTACTTCACAGCTCAAGAGTACTTACATTACTAATCCTCACAATTATTTTCTTTGCCATTATCAATTTTCAAACAATAATAACAACAAAATCTCTAAGTTACCAGGACAGACAGCCATAAATAACCAGAGGTGCAACAAGCAAGGAACAGACACACACACGCAGGATGTTTGATATCACATGACCAAGACATTAAGTATATAACACACTTCTTTTATCATCTGTAGTAATTATCAAAGAGGCCATTCATTTATAGATAATGATAATGATAATACTAATAATATTTATAATTATAATAAAATCACTAAGAATAGAGATGACTTAGATCACTTCAGTTCAGTTGATGACGAGTCGTCTCATTCAGTTTCTTGGACTAAAGAAAATTTTGTCTGGCACCTAATGTCAGTCTATCTGTTACCTGAGAGCACAGCAACAAACATCACAGCTTACAGATACCCTTCAGTTGATTGATAAAGTATCAAGCACAACTCCAACATATTAATATATGAAAGCACTGGTTTCTGGTTCAGTTTCTTCACACATTTTAGAGATCAGATTGTAAGGTACTAGAGTGATCCACTCCATACAGTTCCTTATTTGTCATAGTAAAGGATTTGACCCCAGTCCAGCAGTTCTTGGTTCTCTGAGGTACCTAATTGTCAAACAGTACTCTCACACAGCAAGTGAAAAACTGCATTTTTATTACCATCTTGCCACTGATGGTGTAACAAACCCAGGGTAGCCAACTGAGAAATTGGCTTCTCTTAACACTCTGGAACCACACGAGAGTCCTACCTTCATGGGATACCACACATGGAAGGCAACTATCTCATAACCTCCAGCTCAATTTGTGCAGGAGAGCCAGGAATAACACACCTTCAAAACATCTCACGCTTAAACTCAAACTTGTACTTGATGCATTTCTCTCTGAGGATACCCACAAGGGCCGGAGGACCACAGTAGAATACACATACCTTCCCCATACGTGACTCTCTGATACCACTGAACACCTGCAAATAATATTCATGGTTATGAGGATCTTCAAAGATACTGTTTTTAGCTGTACTTATGATCTATACAATAATGTCAAATGATACTCAGATAGCTAAACTTATTGTCAGTGACATATATATATATATATATATATATATATATATATATATATATATATATATATATATATATATATATATATATATATATATATATATATATATATATATATATATATATATTATTTTTTGGCTGTGAAAGACTGTCATCATTTAACTTGCTATGGTTTTACAGTATTCCAGCATCCCAGATATAAAATACAGGCCCCCAGTCAGTCTACCATGTTGGAATCTGTTGTGCCATGTTGCTAATCTATTGTGGTTTCCTTCCCTTAATTTATCATCTTTTAATTTATCATTTCACCTCTTATCAATTTACTAGTCATTCGGGCGGTTGGTCTGTTCTTTGTTATTTTCTCAAACATGGTAATCACACTCAAATGTTAGACTCTTAAAGTAATGCATTTGGAGTGTGAAAGGAATTGTGTTAGTAAGCACACATGTAGGGAAGATGAGAGGAAAGGAAACAGGAAAAGGCAAATCTCATAAGAAGAGGGATTAAAAATATTAAAACAGGAGGAAAGTAAGGGTGATGTTACCCAAAATCAGACCCAACAATAGGTTAAAGACACCCTGGGGTACTTATTTAACTTGTGAATCCATAATGCCAAACACTGCCTTGTCTCTCACTAACCCCGGGCTTATATGAGAACAGAAGTAGAACAATGAAATACAAACACCACAACAGAATTTCTGTTAATATATTTACCTCTCTCTAGTTGATTACACAAAAAGTGAAGCACACAGTCCAGAAAAACTTAAAAATACATACCTTTTCCCAGTCGGGTCTGCCAGCTCTGATAGATGAAGCTAATGGCAGTGTAGGTCTGAGGGGGGCAGCACCTGTCTTGTAAAGGTGGAGGCTGAGGAAGGTCTCCATGGCAGCACCCACCACCCGCTGTTCACTTTCCATGGCTGCCAGCACCTCCAGGAACCACTCGAAGCTCCCAATGTCACGATTCACCCACACGAAGTCCACCTGTGACCAAAGGTGCAGAGGTTTTGAAACATTTTAGGAGAAATACGATGGACACTGAGTTGGTCGAACTCTACTGTATACGTCTTGTAATTAATTTTCTTTGTTGTAAACTTAAAGAATATACAGTAGGGTGTGTCATAGGAGGGAAGATCAGCTAAAACTAATGGCCCATCACTTTTTTGGTGGATTTTAGTGTATATAAACAGAAAATAATTTCAGTTTCAATATTTTGCAACCTTTTGCTAGGTAAATTTTAGCGTGAAATTTATCGAAAATCTAACGTACAGCTGCATTAGTGCATTACAATTAAATAGTGAACATTGCTTTCGACTTCATTCTTTTTAACAACCCAACTAACAATATTCTTTCTTTGCTCTAGATTCTGATGCATTTATAAGTTGATATTTTGCGATGCTGCTTGTGTCAGGACGAGGAACCAAAAAATCCAGCCATCTCAGTCACTATCTTGGGTCTAGAGAGAGCTCTAAAGTCGGAGTTGTTTACATTGAGTACATTGAGATGCTTTTACGGTGTTTTAATCAGGCAAAATCGGTGAAAGAACCAGAACACAAACAAAATTGCCCATTGATATGACCAAAAGCTGTCTTGGCTGCAGTACCTCTGGCTAACGCTCAGTTCAAGCCTCAGTCATAACAAGTCAGAAGAAGATTAGTGGCCCTTGCTGCTTCGGTTAAGGAAAAGGCAAGAGATATCTCTCTTGGGAGAGAAAAACTTGCAGTTAAGGACAGCTTTGCCAAGCAACTGGACCAGTTATTTGACATAATTACTTGCAAGTGCCCAATTGTTCTCTGTCCTGAGTTTGGATGCGATCGTGACTGTAAATCCGAGGCCCACATCTCCTGTATTTGCAAGCGTGAACTGAAGATTCCTGTGATCGAGCTGGCATTTGTCAAAGCACAGAGAGAGAAGACTGGCAGTATAGGGGCTCTCATGATTTCTAGCCAAGATATTCCGGAGTCCAAGAGACAGGAGGCTGCCACAGAGAGACAGAAGAGGAGAAGAGTTGCCGAGGAAAAAGAAAGAGAGGCTTTGAGAAGGCCCAGGGTGAGGTAAAAAGAGCCGATGATTGAGTCAAGCTGATTCAGAGTTTAATGACTTCCCCATATGGCTGATCCGAGTGCTGACCAGGAGAATGGTGACTTTGTCTCTAACCCAGAAAATAATGATCCCAAACCTTCCGGGCATAAGATTCCGAAATAGGAAGATATCCCGAGCATAGCTCTGGCCAGCATGCGACACCACACTGGTCTCAGAGAAACTGCAGAGATAGCAACAGCTGCCTGGATTGACGGTGGTTTGATAACACCTGATGATGTTCACCTGGTGATAGATCATAACAAAGTAAGGAGAGCTCAGGAGAAACTTGTCAGTAACCTAGAAGAGGAGTTTGATAAGGGGATAAGAGAAAATGGAATCAATTGTTTGTTCTTTGATGGGAGAAGGGATGACACTAAAGTGTTCATGAAAGTTGGAGATTCTGACAAGTTGTTCCCTGCCATGGTGAAGGAGGAACACTACTCCTGCTGCAGTGAACCAGGAGGGAAGTATTTGTGGCATTTCACTCCAGAGAAAGATGACATCAGGAAACCAGCTGAGATAGTGGCAGATAACATTGTGAACTGGCTCAGAGAGAGGAACGTAGACCAGACCCTGCAGGCCATTGGAGGGGACAGCACCAACACGAACACAGGGTGGCAAGAGGGGGTCATACAGTGGATAGAGCGGAAGATTGGGAGGAAGCTGGTCTGGATTGTTTGTGACCTCCACACCAACGAGTTGCCACTCAGACATCTGATCCAGGAGCTGGATGGCAAGACTCTTTCAAACAACAGATGGTCTGGTCCTCTTGGCAAAATGCTGGACTCTGCCACTGAGTTAGAAATAAATCCGAGCTTTGAAAAAATCACAGTTGGCCCTCCACTCGTTGAGCTTGCACATACTGTCATTGACGACCTGAGTACTGACCAGTACTATGGTTACATGATTTGCAGTGCCATCAAACTGGGGTCATGCCTGATAGACTTGCTTACCTGCAGATAGGTCCAGTCTCACATTCTAGGTGGCTCACAACGGCACTCAGGTTCTGCAGAATTTGGGTCGCTCATCATAAACTGAAAGGGAACCAGCTTCACAACCTGAGACTTATTGTCCAATTCATCGTGAGTGTCTACTTGTCAAATTGGTTCAACACCAAGGTCAAGTCATCGTTCTCCGAAGGTCCGAGGCATGTTCTCTTCCAGCTTGAGCTCCTGAGGAGTCAGCCAAGGAAAGTTGTTCAGATTGTGGAGCAGACTGTGAGGAGATCTTCCTGGTATGCTCATCCCGAGGCAGTTCTGCAGACAATGCTCTGCAGTAAGGATGAGGAGGAGAGAAGAGTGGCAGTCAAAAAGATCTTGGATATGAGACTTATGAGAGGATCTGGGCATGACGAATCAGTTGGTGACGATTCCTTCAGGGTCAGGAGGACTCTTGAAGTCAATCTAGGTGCCAAGACCCTCACTGATCTCATAGATCTGGATAACATCAGGCTGGCAGTGAGCCCCCTCTTACCTGCAGCCTCACCAATGTTCAAGTCAGAGCTTTCCTGGACAACCCCATGCATGTCCCTGCCTGGCCCTCGCACACAGAGTATAGGCGTTGTGTACAGTGAGCGAGGCCAGCAGTCACGTGTACAGCCAGGAGAGGAGGGAAGGCTACATCCGAGCTCAGGTGGTCAGCAGGGAGGTGATGAGTAGAAACAGAAGCAAGAAAGACATGTTCTCTATGGTGTGCAGCAACACCGGGTCGTAGTAGTAAAACCGGTTTTTGTATTTGATGATTTTGTTTTCTAAAGGAATATTAAATTTAATAAATGTGTCAAGATCATTCGTTTCACTATTCTGGATCATTTTCATCCTAATAAATTAACCTGATACATTTACTTTACTTTAAATAAGCTATTTAGTGGTGTTGGTAAAAGGGTGGGAATACTGATTTTCATAAGATTTCAAGTTAAAATTTACCTAGCAAAAAATGAAAACTTTTCAAATTTGAAGATATCACATGATTCTGCACATAGAACTACATCATTAATACCATGGGCCGATTTTTCAAACTCAAAAAAAAAAAATTCGCCTCCGTATGACACACCCTAATATACAGTATATTTACAGTTTTATCCTCTTTCCTACAGCCTATCAGCCTGGCATCATAGGAAATTAGTGACCCCATTTAGGTGCCTATTATAATAGGGATGTAGACTGCTGGTCCTTGAAATTGACAAATTTGTTATTGTAGTACTCTAGTAGAATAAATAAGGAGCTGTTGGTAATTTGAAATATCTGAGAGTGGATCACATTCAGTAAAAGTTGTTATATTGTACAATCTTCTTAGATCTGGAGACGATATGCACAATGAGGTGGACTGTAAGACACAGTGGGAGGTAATGAGTTATATATATATATATATATATATATATATATATATATATATATATATACCCTGTACGTTAATGCATGTATGTACCCGCAGATGTGTGCTGTACTTATAATAGAAGGACAAACTATTGTCTACAAATCACAGTACTGTACAGTACATCTACCACAGCCAACAGAACAAAGGACTTACCTTCCTGAGTTTTCTGAGTGTGGCAGGCAGCGCCAGGCAACTGGGGACGTGACAGTACGGGCAGGGCGCCTTGGCTGCTCGGTACCTACCATGACATAATAAATGTTATTATTTGTGGGTTTCATTTACCTCCTTCACATCCTACACAAGGAAGGAAGCAACTGTCATACACCAGCAGCAGATAAGACTAAGTGATTCATAAAGCTGATATGTAACTCACAGAATTACCTTGATGTAATACGTGAGTCCGTGAGCACTGAGTAACTCATCAACAAATTTTACCGACTAGAAGGAATTAAATTCAGGATTTACAAGGAAGCTGGCAGGATAGCTAAGTTGACATATGTTGACTTAACCAAAGCAAATCTACTGTTTGCATAATGGAAGTGTAATTCTGGGTTACATGTTTTGAATCATATTTAAAATCAGTTTTAACTGGTCTTAACATACTGTCATTATCTGATGTCTATAACAACATTACAAGTTGCCAGGAAAATAAATTTTGAACTTAGATTTGAACCAGGAAGAAGCTTGAGGAGCACAGAGGCAAAGTTGTTAACTGAAGTAAAATTTAACAAGAACGAATAAATGAATATACTATAGAAATGAAAGTCTACACTCCAGGCGCATACAGTACAGCATGTATATGGTTTAATAACACAGAAGATGAACTAATGTGAGGAGGAACCCACAGTAGTTGGCTACCTCATCATGACGCTCTGAAGAATGGAGGCAAAAGGTGTAACTCCGATCCCAGCGCCCACCAAGACAGCGTGAGTGACTGAGAATATCCTGGTGGAGGGAGTGCCGTATGGTCCATCTACAAACACCTGCAGGGTATAATACATGTGGCATGATCTTGGCACAGCTCTCACAACAATGATTGTATCCTGATATCCTCCACATAATAAAACATTTACCTACTGTACATCAACTTCTGCTAGTCCCATTATACACATATATTCTTATATTTAGTCCACAGGAAAATCATTGTGTATTTTTACATTTCATTCCCTTTTCAATCGTAATGAAATACAGTATTAACGAAAAGTCCATTAACAGAGAATTTATAATATTGATTTATTCACAACAATAAATTCACACAAAAAACTATTCCTAGATTTATTTTATATTGTGACACTGGTTCACTGAATACTGACCTTCAAGTCATTCTAAACATGGCATCTGGAAACCATGCTAACTGCTAGCCATAACTATGATACCGTCAGAAATGGCCCCACAAGGGCCTGTATCACTCATCTGAAGTAACGACCACGACAATAACTTAAATATACAGTATATTGAGAGATGACCATCTTTACAGCTTCTTCCTGTAACAACCGGTGGTGGGCTATTTTTTTTGTTTTACCAGAGTGAGGTATGGGAGACCTCTACACCTCATAGTTCATTCCCAACTTTACTTTTCCTCTATTAAGTCTTCTGGTGAGGAAAGGTTTGGGATATCCTTTCTCATTAACTTCATCTCTTGCCCTTGAACACCCATGGGCAGACACACTAAACGATTTTGGGCGTCACCTAGAGGTCCAACCGTATTGCCTCCCATGGTTGTAGGCAGTGTGTCACCGAGAGCTAGCAAGTACCTACTGTATACTGTCCGAGAAAAACAAAGCCTTCGACATTAAACACAACTACGCAAATTTTAAGAATGAACAAGCACAAAATCAAAATAGGAGCATGGAATGTGAAGACATTTTATGAGGGTGGGAAGTTTGCAAACGTTTGTAGGGAAATGGAAAGATTACAGCGGGACATTCTGAGGTTAAGTGAAGTAAGAGGCACAGGTTCAGATAGCATTAGTGGTGAACGTATTGTCTTCATTTATTCAGGTGGTGAAAAAGCATGGGAGAGGTGTTGGTACTTTTACAAAATAGAAGTTGGGCAATAGTGTAAAGGGATATTGGGTAGTGTTAGATAGAGTTTTGTTAGTCAAGTTTAATGGACTTGGTAATAATACAGGTTTATGCACCAACAAATGATAGTGAGGACAAAGCCTTCGAAAAGATATTTCTAAAGATTTAAAGAAAGCAAAAGACACTGGGAAAGAAGCAGCAGCAGTAGGATTACATGGATTGGGTAATAGAAGTGAAAGAGGAGAAATATTAATTGACTTTTGCAAGGAGAGCAAGATGATAAATTCAAATATAAAGTTTGAACAACACCCTAGGCATCTGTATACGCGTATCTTACCCCAGGACAATGTAAATAACATTTTCAGGAATTGTATAGATTTAAGCAAGCTCAAATCAGGGCCAAGGATAGAACATGGTATTTAAATCGAAAACATATTTTTTATTATTGTTAGAGAATGACTTTAATGAGCAAGAAACAGGACAAACGTAGGAGAATAATAACAAATGAATAATATTAGATTGTGGGGAAAACTTAGACGACATAGGAAGAACGAGACTAAAAGTGAGTGGATCATAAAAAAAATGGATAGACGAAAAAAATGATAAAAGGAAGTGAAGCTCATAAAGATTTTAACAAAGGTATCCAGAAGGACTGTAGACAGGCTAAAGAAGTGATTTGAGAACTGAAATATTTGTATTATTGCCTAAAAAGCCAAGAGCCTTAGAGTGCACCAGGTTTAGAACAATTAGCTTAATTAATAAATCCTGCCTGTAATGTTCTGTTACTCATAACTTTAAGTATAATAGAATATAGAACAGACAGTGATCAAAATGGAGTTAGAGGGAAAACTAGAGAAGCTATAATTGGTTTGAGAATTTTGAGTGAAAGTGCTTTAAGGGTCCAAAGAAATGTGAGTATCCGCATTGCTGATTTTGGTAAACCTTTTGATAGAGTAATGAACAATAACCTTACAGATGTCTTGGAAAAATAGGCTTTAATGAAGGAAATATTCGAATTTTTAAGAATCTCTACTGGCAACAGGAGGCTGCAGTGTTAGTAAATAATAAATTTACTAATTGGTTCACAGTTAGACAGGGAGTAAGACAAGGCTGTGCTCTATCTCCAACATTGTATAATATATATTCAGAATTTTTAATGAGAAAAGTTTTAAATAACAATAAAGGTATAAAAGTTAATGGTAGAGTAATATCAAATATGCAATATTCAGATAATACTGATCTTATCACGGATAGTGTCGAGTCGTTATAAAACTGGTGAACAGATTAGTGGAAAGGTGTAAAGAATATGGGTTACGTGTTAATGCTGTAAAGACGAAAGTAATGATTGTTTTCAAATTCGAAATAAATCCTTAAATAAAAAAAAATATGGTATGGTATGGTATGGTATGGTATGGTATGGTATGGTCGGGAACTTAAACAAGTGGAAAATTTTGTGTATATGGTGTAATGGTAAATGTGCGAAAGGAATCACAACAAGCGTAGGTCGATCGAAAACAACATTTAATAATCTAATAAAAAAAATTATAACATAAATTTGAAAAAAGCTGTTGAAAAGCAATGTATGATAAGGACTGATGCATGGGTCAGAAGCGTGGACACTTTCAACAGCCACCAGAAAGAGATTAGAGGCTTCTGAAATGTGGTATTTTAGGCAAATATTAAAAATAAGTTAAAATGACAGGAAAACAAATGAAGAAGTTCCAAGATCGCCCAAAACTTCATGAGTTAATGGGATAATAACAGAAGTATTAATGGCCAAAGGTGAGATGAAGGCAGAGACTGGGGTGGAAGAATGTTGGGTCCCCAGAGAGATCCAAAAATTCGGAGGATTGGTAAAAACAGCCGAAAACGCTTAAGAGTGGTCGCCAACCCTTAGATATGAGAACAATACTCTGATTGACTGATGGTAACACCTATATCACTGATCCCGTATTGAGTCTCTAAAGTGGCATTTGTTTTGTCATGTTTAAATCAAATGTAGACCTGATTAACCGTTGAGAATGTAGCACCCTCATTACTGTTATTGATAGTTTACATTACTTCTTTCAGCAAACTCATCCTGTAAAACTTAAAAAAAAATTTGACCAGGGAAAGCCTAGTAATGCTATGAGACCAGACCTAAGCTGTCGAAGTTAAGTCTCTCATTTAAGATTTTTATGGTACCGCAGTGAGTGTCAACAAAATTTCACTAAAATCCACTGACTTTTCTAAGACTTAGCACTGGACAGTTACTTCAGTGGCCAAAAGGACCAGGAGAAACAAACACGCATACAGTACATCAAGTCATCCTCCTGACAGCAACACACAGGTGAAGTTCTATGAGAATCACAATTTAATAAGATTTCCATTAAGTTCAATGTAGATACAAAGCCAATTAGATGTCAAACTTCTTAATTGGTACATAAGAAGCTCACTAATAAGCTGTAATGAGGTAGTCCTTATAATCTTAGTGTGTCTGTGTGTGTGTGTGTGTAGAGCTGAGACTCCTAAAGACCACCTCTTAATTAAGGCTACGTCTATACCAAACATTATACCTTCAATTTGAGACTCAGTGAACAATTCATAGCCCCCGTTATGACTAGTCTTGAAATTTTGTTCCCAGCAACTATATTTATATAATTTTTTAATGAAGCAGTTGCCAGTTGTGTGATTATTGGTTAATCGAAAAATATAAACTCCATCCTAGCCTTTAAATTCGTTGTTATAAATGGTCCAGTTTCCCCCTCGGCTAACATCGTAGCAGTAGCTCGCATCAAACACAAAAACAATGAGTTAACATGAAAAATAAACTAAAAATAAAAATCCGAGACATGAAACTGATAGTAAATATCTTAACCATGACACATATACAACCTCAAGGTCTATGATCCTAGACTCTTTAGTAGAGTCTAGAGAGCAAAGGTTTCTTAATTACCTCATTATTCTTGTTTTCAGAACGAGAGCTGATTTCTTCCGTGGTCAAAGTCTGTTTCAATCTATTTTCTTCATTTCTTCTCTGGCAATGTTCGGGGTGTTGGTGTTGGAGGGACGTGGAATACTGTTGATCGGTGAAGGAGTCCAGACTGGAGTTGCTGCCGGTGAGGGATGATCGACCTGAGTTCGTCTGCCCTGTGTAAGACCCCAAGAGTTCAGCCTTCAGTGTGGCCAGATTCGATAAGCTGGAAGATTTTTTGCGTTCTAGTGATCTTTGAGCTGCAGGAATCGTTGGCTTAGACACAGCAGGGGTGATGGGTGGCTTTTGTTCTGTTTCTACAGGCAGCAACGCTGGTGGTCGTGTGTAGACGCTCATCTTACGGTTAAATTCCAAGAGATTATTGATATAACGGCCACCCTTCCCTGCACAGCCTCCACCTCCATCACTAGCATCTTCTATGGCAATGACGGTGTGAGTGGGGGTCTCTGTCAACGATTCATCAGAGGTAAAGGCGGGGTTCAATATACCTGAGATTTCCTTCTGACACTTCTGTGATGTGACTGAAGCTTCCTTTCCCTTCTCTTCTCTGAACAACTCATAAACTCTCTTAGTCCATTCTCCCACAGAGCGGATGTGAACTGTAAAAACGTCTGTAAAGCAGAAGAGAAAAATACATTATTGAAATAGTAACAGAGAATAAACCGACCGCCCGACCTGCTAATGGGCTGACAAGTGTTGAGAATGTTAAATGAAAAATAAAAAATAATTATTAAACTTATTCCTGTAAATACACAATAAATGGCGGATCTACTAACTTACGTACAGTACCCAATAGTGAGTGCTGTGTAATGAGTTAAGCTCCCACTCAAATACAAAAAAAATAGTAAATAAAGGACTACACTGAACCATGTTAACCCCTGACCTTCCTGCTCAGGCGCGGATGAGATGGTGAAGGGGTGCCACTCGTAGCGTGCAATGGATGGAATGTTGAGGTACACATACTCTCCAGGCTGGAAGTCGAAGTTCTTAGGCCGCTTGATCAGCAGCTTTATCACCTAAGGCAACAAATTATTTAAGTATTATACATTAATATAATTGAGTTGTGAGATGAACTTTTTTTGGTCATCAATAGTACCATTGATGTCCCATTAATACTCGCAGATTTAGAAAATAATTGTATAACTCCAACAACATATTATTAGTTTCAACTTTGCAGCGCCTGGAGGGTGGCAGCTCACCTGGGAGGGCAGTGTGGTGCCTATGAGGATTTGGGTCTTGCCCCTCGGGGTGCACACCTGCGATATCCTGAAGCAAGTCTCCAGCAGGAAGGCAACGCCAGGAAGCAACAACCACTTCCAGAAGTTAGGGCCGTGGAGGACTAGGAACACCCAGAACGGTAGCGACAGCAGGTGAGTCCAGTAGAATATCTGCAGGTAAAGGGAGCGATGAGTTGTACGAACAAAATTTTGTATACATTGTGGAGGGGTGAGTGTAGTGGGACGAGACAATATTCTATACACTTGCCTCAGTACAATGGGTTATTAAAAAGACCTTGTAATCGTACCTCAAAATAACCGGATTTTCTGACGATGCGGTGACTAAAGGCGACGATGATGGTGAGGATGATCATGAGGACGACGCCCGTCGGGTTGGCCAAGCCGCCCACCCAGCCGATGCCCAGAGAAGTGTCCCACATGTAGTCATTCATGCTGATGCCCGTCACGTCTCCAAGGGTCACTGTTAGAGCACCAGCAGCCAGGGTTAGTGTGAGCTGACACAGTGCACCATCAATATCTCCACAATACAGTAGCTGGGTATTGATGGTGGTAACGCTGTTGGTGGTGTATGGTGGTAACACTGTGGTAGCACCGTTGAGGAAGTATCAGCATGGTAACATAAGTGAATTGTAGTTGTATCAAGTTTGGTGTCAGTGTACACATATATTTCAAATAACATTTCTAGTCTTATCAACTACATACTCTTTTCAATTTCAGATTCGTAATTTGCATTCTAATGATTTTGTTTGTTTTTAAAAAGTTAAGTAATTTACTCCAGAGATAAATATAGAAAGCAACGGAGGTACAGACCTGAACATTAAATATGCAAACACCTCTCCCTACACTCTAATAACGCATATAAAACATACAAACATGCACACATTTCAATACAGTTGTAAAAATACACACACACACACACACAGAAAAAATATTTAGTGAAATTAACATGAGTGAAGGACAAGTCAAAAGCGAGCAAGTTTTGGCTGAACGTTAAGATCAATAACATTAAACTTTAAAATGATCCTTCAGTACTGTAAATTTTAAACAATCTATTTGAACAAATACTGTATTCACTTCTCTGTGACTACTGTATATAACACAAACTTTATAATTAATATTAAATTAGGTACGTGCAATACCTACAATTTATACTACAGCTACATATAGTTAAGTGTAGGTTATACTTAAACATATGACATCAATTTAAAATGTTCCTCACTACTGCTACATAACATCTTCTCTCACTAGACAACCTTTGACTGTGAATGTTAACAGAGAAAACTTTAAAATCAAGAGTACATACTTGTTGTTGATGTTACAAGGTTATTAATGCGTTTCAACAAATAAGGTCTTTAAGCGCATAGAAAGGTAAGTTCCTCAACAACTAAATATTATGAGAAATAGATTTCTCTGTTTTTGACCCAGTAGTCTCAGGATACGATCATTATTAGTGGTTCATCCTTCAAGCAAGCATTTACCCTATACCGCGTTTATATGTTATCATAATACTGTACCACATATAATGGCATTGAAAACTATATCAAAACTTAGTAACATAGATCTGATATATTATAAGAAATAGTTTTTACTTTGGTCAGCAAAGTCGTACATAATAGTTTTCAAGAAGAAAAGATATATTAGAGGGAGTCAAGCATATATATATATATATATATATATATATATATATATATATATATATATATATATATATATATATATATATATATATATATATATATATATTTCATTAGCCCATAAAGCGCTCGGACTTCTACATATAATCAACAACCTCACCCCGCCAGGACTCGAACCCACGATCTTATGTGTGTGACCGGGGAACGTTACCCCTAGATCACTAAGACACTAAAAGTAGTCCTAGACTTTGTTAATTTGGCGCAAAGCCTGTTCATCGAGCTACCCGTGCCTCGTAACAGGCTTTGTGTGAAATATAACAAAGTCTAGGACTGTCTGTATCGTGGGTTCAGACTATATATATATATATATATATATATATATATATATATATATATATATATATATATATATATATATATATATATATATATATATTGTTATACATTAGTCAGAGAGTAGAAGCCCAGTTAGTTCTGTTACATACTGTTGAAAATTAAGAAAGTTATATGAAGAGTTTATATAGGTAATGCAAGATTATAGGAAAATATATAAATAGACAAGGACTCACCTCAATATGACGTAAAATTATCAGCCTGCGAAACTACATAAGTCTCCCCTGCACATCAGGCTACTCACAGACTAAACTCAGATAAAGATACCAGAGAGAGCGTTGACACTTGCAGGGAAGAAGTGGATAGCATAAACAAGGACATTTTTATAATGTTACAAGACAAGGAGAGTGGTGTGTAGGTAGAGTGGGGAGTGGGACAGTATACGCAAGGGATAATGAATAAAAGTATAAACAAATACTCAACGGTCTTTGTATTATCATTTGAGGTGTGAAGTAATTATGAGTTCATAATAATGTATTTTTTTCAGCAGTCATGTAATACTTCAGACTGGCCAGAATGGGATGGCTCAACTTGAACAATGTTCCCTCAAAGATAAGAAGTACTTTATGAAACTCAAAGGAAGAATATATATGATAAGGGAGTCTGCTGAAACATTAAATTAATCATGAATATGAAATATTGATGAAGAAAGTGGCAGAGTGGCATATGAACAACAAAGTGGTGAGGTTCATTCTTGGCATGAACACAAGAGATCACGTTGGTCACGAAGTTTTTCCATCACTGAACATGTTAACTGTGACGGATAGATTGAAGCAACTGAGGATGAATGACGCTTATAGAATTTTCATTGGACTGTGCTCAGAGTATCTAACAACAATCTATGCAAGGATTATCCGGCATGGCAATTGAGGGAGTGAACATAATTTATTGGTATCTGGTGTCCGCAGTCAGGCGAAAAACACTTTCTTCTTTACTGTTATAACAGATTGGAATACATTATCACACCACATCAAAACCAATCATGGTATCAAAAATTAAAAGCTAAAACAGAAATACATAGTAGATGAAGCTACAGCAAGAGAACAGAGAGAGTTTATATATTATTAACCACAGAATGTAGTACTGTGGTATTGATCCGCCAACGTAACTACTGTACCATCTTCAAGTCTCAGATCTGATGCGTCCACACGTGTCTTTAATGTCGACTTAGCTTAACGGTAGAAAACCTCTGGGTTTGACATGTCCTTACTTAGAAATCCGATTGGTTCGTGGACCTTGCTTACATCTTTCTGTCCTGATCATCATTTGTCTCGACCTTAGAAATATTAAAACACGTTTGAGTAGAAGGACAAGCAAATTCTTAAAAAAAAAAACCTCCCCTTTTCATACCTAAGTACACTATTGCATGCAGGCGTGGGGACTTCACATCGCAGGAACAAGTCCAACGAATAGTGGGTAAAATTATTCCAAAACTACGTCACCGTGAGTATATCATCTTCCTCGTGTAGATATTTGAGAGAAACTGCCATTCTGAGCACACTAGCTTCACTCGTGCCACTGTAGATGTCATAAGAATGATGGAAAAATACGTTAACAGCTTTTGAGACGTGCGATATTGATGACGGAAGTGAGGAGAGTGTATGATGTGAGGACTAAGGCAGCAGAGTGAATGTAGGAAGCCTCGGAGTGTGTGTGTGTGTGTGTTTGTGTTTTGTGTGTGTGTGTGTGTGTGTGCGTGGAAGGGACTGAAGATAGTAAAAGTGAAGAATCATCCCTGAGAGAGTCAAGTAGCAGGATATAGTTGTTATTAACAAGTTGAGGCAGCGCAGTGCAATGATAAAAAATTACGTTTCCTGAAAACTTAGACTTCATTTGCCATGAGAAATGTACATAAAATCTACGTTGGGTTATTGCTAATTGAGTAAAGAAATACTAGCTATAGTTGGTTATCAAATTGGCTGTAAATCATATTTCAATCAAAATATTTGTATACGATACAGTTTTTACAGGGAGATCTGAATTTTATTTCTCAAAAAAGATCAAATCACAACTACAATAATGTCTCCGTCTCCTTCGCTCTCCGAGGCTCAGCACTTTATGTAACCAACTTTTTAACTTTATATTTACTAAACCTTTAATCTATTTACACTCTCCCCTAAAAGCATTGGCCCCTTTTGTCATCGTTGCAGTGTGTCACAATGGACGAATATTTCCGATCACTAATTGTGACTCCTGCATTATGTTGGCAAGTATGCTTTCTTAGTATCGATATGGTTGCCAGTTATTATTCAGGTATTTGTTATAATTATGGTGTATCACTGTGCTCCATCTTTAGTAGAAAATATAATGATATTAATGTAACGAAAATATATCAACGGCAGTCAAATAGTGGGTGCTTTCTGCTGGAAATCCATGTCCAACACCAGTACCCGAGACTCCTTGGAAAACACAGCTTGCACCAACAGACATGTCTCGTAATGTGTATCAATAATGTTCTGTTGCCAGCACGAACCATAAGATACGTTATATTCATAATTGTTACCTCATTAATCGATGTAGAAATAATATCGAAATGCAGTAAACCATAATGTCATTGTAATTGGATATGGCATCATAATACACCTGTAATTACTATATTTGCAAATGAATGTCATATCGGATCATAAGGTTTCACATTTCGTTTGAAGCGATCCATTGTAACCTCGGTTTATGAAAACAGTGACGTTATATTCCTATTTGGCAACTCATCCCCTGAGGTTGAAATAGTACCGTATCAGGGCAGATCGTATCAAAGGTACTCATGACGTTATTGGTTTTGCATATGGTATCATAATTCATCCTATTTTATTACATTATGTCGAGAACAGGTGGTATACTGCAGGTATCATGGTGATTATCAGGTGCAAGAAGAAAGAAGGAAAGATTCAACTCACAATCAGAAATACCAACTGAACCGAAATTGGTGTGCACGTGTTATTGTGTTCATTTCCAAATACTTTTTGGGGAGAGTTTACAATACCAGTACGTATTAAGTTTTAAAGTGTAGATCATGGTGATATAAGCTCTCAAAGTTTAAGGTCTTTCTTGGTCAAAATGGTCGAACTCCAAGTCTTCATCTGTTAAAATTATCATGAACTTTTGAACATACTGTAAACAAATGGTGAAGCATTAATAACAGCGGTACACGATACAACACTCAAGTGATGACTGCAAGCAGTATGTACAGGATCCTGTTATATTTTAACTATAAACAGTGTGTATGGTAAGTAATCAGCTTATTCCGCAATACTAAACGTCGAATGTTATATAAGACACAACAAAAAAATGATGTTTAGTAACCCTGGCAGCTGCAGCACCAGAAAGCAACAAAAAACATGTATGGTAAGTCTGTAGTCTCTGTGTGAACTGTTTCAGTCTCTCCTATTTTGTTATAATTTAAATGTGTAATTTGTGAAAGTGGCCAAGGCAGGTACAGGTAAGGGAGTCTATCTGGGACAAGTGTAAGGGTCAAGGTAATTTTTATAGTCGAGGGAAGGACAGTGGTTGTGAAGGATTCATTCTGACATATTATTAAGACAAACAATAAACTTGGTGTCACTTTACAAAACTAGTGATTAGTCTACGATTGTGTCGGTGCTAAAACTTGTTTACCCGGGTGCCAAATTTACCAAAGTTGGCGATGTGGAAGAGCGTGTGGAGGATGGAGAGGAAGAAGACTGTCCATCCAGCCATCTTGTGGAAGTGGACGTGCTGGTCACAAGGGAGGAAGAAGCCTGCGGGGGAGTTCCTGAGGCGGGTCACTGTGCGTCGTAGGATCAATAGCAGCAGCAGCGCGCAGTTCAGGTTGAGGCACTGACCTGTAGAGCAGGACACACCGCTTAGTTCACACCCACACCAAGTAATACACGAATATATAAATAAATATTCAAGTACTTATAATAGGTTGGAGAAAAACAAAGGAATAAGTCGTAGCAGAGAGGTAAAAATTACCCACGAGGGCGATAGAGAACAAATATTACTGTATTAAAAGTTTTAGATAAGAGTGCAGAGGTCTTATTGCAACTATATCTTGCGCTAGTCAGGCCGCACCTCGATTATGCAGTTCAGTTCTGGTGCCCTTATTATAGAATGGATATCAATTCACTAGAGTCGGTGCAGCGAAGAATGACGAAAATGATTCCGGGACTTAGAAACCTTCCATATCAAGATAGGTTAAAGAAACTAAACTTGCATTCCCTAGAAAGACGAAGAGTGCGGGGAGATATGATAGAAGTATTTAAGTGGGTGAAAGGAATCAATAAAGGTGATATAGATAAAGTTCTTATAATATCCGAGCAGGATAGGACTCGGAACAACGGATTTAAGTTGGATAAGTTTAGGTTTAGGAGGGAGATAGGAAGGAACTGGTTCGCAAATAGGGTGGTGGACGAGTGGAACAAGCTTAGCAACTTTGTAGTAAGTGCTGGAACGTTGGAAAGTTTCAAAAGGAGGCTGGATAGATTCATGGATGATAGAGAGTGGTAGTAACTCTCGACAGGAGCTGCCATGCACAGGCTAACCGGCCTATTGCAGACTCCTTATTTTTTTATGTTCTTATGTAACCGGAAACCGCAACAACTGTGGACTAGAACTTCTTGGAGCACTGCCTCACGTGGCAGCCCAACTCTGCCTCACGTGGCGACCCAACACCGCCTCACGTGACGGCCCAACACCTACTCACGTGGCGGCCCAACACTGCCTCACGTGGCGGCCCGACACTGCCTCACGTGGCGGCCCAACACTGCCTCACGTGGCGGCCCAACACTGCCTCACGTCAGGAAGAACAATGAGAAACAATGTATCTTAGGCAACAACATGAAGAAATCTGTCGATATATAATGACGATGCAGCTGGTGTTTCCCTCTGCTCGTGTGAAAACACACACACACACACACACACACACACACACACACACACACACATACACACACACGGTGACATCTCACACACACACACACACACACGGTGACATCACACACACACACACACAAACACACACACACACACACCAACTGTGTTAAAACGCTAAATCTAACTGACAAAATCACTTACGGGTGAACACTAGCAGGAAGTCAAGATTTTATTTTACAAAGTCAGTATGTATTGAGTCAGAGGATGATGACTCCTGTGGCAGCAGGTTTGTACAGTATGTGAAAATAATTAATTATATTTGAAGATTACAACATAATAATTGTGATTGTATTTGTGACTTATTAGAACAAAAGTTAAGATGGAGGTTATGAAGTAACACAGCCATAAAGATTTGTTCCTCGCCTCCTGCCTCACTCTGTAAATGCTTTCCAGATTTTTGTTCTTAAAAAACAAAAAAGTTCGAGCACATGCAACGGTCTGTTAAATAGAACCCTTAAAAGTGCAATCAAGAAGGAACTAGTAGATGAATTTGAGGCAAAAGTCAATCCATTGTAGCGTGACCAAGTAAGACGATCAAGAGATTACAAAATGTTGTAACCGCTAGGCTAAGGTTCGGGTAAAAGTACCTCTGGCAGTATATCCCTCAAGCAGATGTGAACAACACTAACTTTAAGGTGTGTGGCCAGATGTATGGCCACACAATCAACCACTACGTCCTTGACTGTGAAAAGATAGAGCCTTTTAGGGACAAGACCAAATACAATAAAGAACCAAACACACAATGTGCTTGAATACCTCTCATGCAGATGTGAACATCAAAGTGTGTGGCCAGGTATATGGCCTCACACTGCTGTGCTCACGCAGTTGTGAATAAGTAAAAGGTGCACAATAAACTAGCCACTATACGTGGCAAAATTAAAAAAATCAAATTCAATTCAAGTGCCATCATGGTACAGAAGAGGACACTGCGCATGGTGTTATGTGGCCATCATGGTACAGAAGAGAACACTGCGCATGGTGTTATGTGGCCATCATGGTACAGAAGAGAACACTGCGCATGGTGTTATGTGGCCATCATGGTACAGAAGAGAACACTGCGCATGGTGTTATGTGGTCATCATGGTACAGAAGAGGACACTGCGCATGGTGTTATGTGGTCATCATGGTACAGAAGAGGACACTGCGCATGGTGTTATGTGGCCATCATGGTACAGAAGAACACTGCATAAAGTGTGGGTAGCCATCATGGTACAGAAGAACACTGCGCATGGTGTTATGTGGTCATCATGCTACAGAGGACACTGCGCATGGTGTTATGTGGCCATCATGGTACAGAAGAACACTGCATAAAGTGTGGAGTGGCCATCATGGTACAGAAGAAGGCACAATGCGCGCAATGCGCATCATGGTATGTGGCCATCATGGTACAGAAGAGGACACTGCGCATGGTGTTATGTGGCCATCATGGTACAGAAGAGGACACTGCGCATGGTGTTATGTGGCCATCATGGTACAGAAGAGGACACTGCGCAATGCGCATGGTGTTATGTGGCCATCATGGTACAGAAGAGGACACTGCACATGGTGTTATGTGGCCATCATGGTACAGAAGAGAACACTGCGCAATGCGCATGGTGTTATGTGGCCATCATGGTACAGAAGAGGACACTGTGCATGGTGTTATGTGGCCATCATGGTACAGAAGAGGACACTGCGCAATGCGCATGGTGTTATGTGGCCATCATGGTACAGAAGAGGACACTGCGCAATGCGCATGGTGTTATGTGGCCATCATGGTACAGAAGAGGACACTGTGCATGGTGTTATGTGGCCATCATGGTACAGAAGAGAACACTGCATAAAGTGTGGGGTGGCCATCATGGTACGGAAAAAATATGATCGTTTATCCCTAAATATTACTTTAGTGGGCTACTTATGGGAAGAGAGAGAGTGTGGCTGAAAAGTGAGATGGAGGGAAAAGTCAGGGGAGAGGGGAGGTCGGGCTCATGAAAAAGTACAGGAGGTTAGAGTAGAAAGGGTCTAGGTGGAGGAGGGCTTTAGAGGTGACAAGGGCCCCAAATTATCATGGGTCCCAGGAGCACTAAGGAATCAAGAACTCAGTAGGTCAAAATGATCCGTCAAGCCCAGTTCCATTATTGTCTCGGTCTTGCCTCTCCTCCCTTTATTTACAGTTACGACAGCAGAAAGTTCACTGTTTGATACAATTATCCTGTTTATTATACAATACCTCAGTCACATGATTATTACGTTAACTTGTGTGACATTATTCGCACACGTCCTCCCAGGCTGTTTTAAGTATGTCACGTCAGCGGGCGACTGATGGGCCAGGGAGAAGCTGAGGGTGAGGCTGCGTTTCTTTGGTCACGTCTACTATGACTCGTAGCTTGTAAAACGTATACTCATGGTGTGCATTTGGAGTGTTCTGTTTTTATTATCACGAAGCACTCAAGCGGTGGTGCGAAATATCTAGCGAAATATTATGTAAGCGTATTGTTGCTGCGGCTGTGGCTTTGTTAGCAAACATTTGACGCAACCAGACAGCCTAGTCCATGTCGCCAGATAGTGCGACACGGCCGTGTAGCTTTGAAGTACTGCTACTTACACCAGCATAACACTGACCGTAAGTAGCCTGGAAGTGTTGGCTGAGGCCTCTGAGGCTCACTAAGTGCCCTTATATGACCACTCGGGCGGCGTCTAAGATGATATGTTTTGCTGTGATGAGATAATTTTTGAGGTCTCGCGGCCACAACCACAGGCTCTCGTTGTTAACAGTTTAAGTCTGTACACTAAGGCTATAGTTATTTCACTTAACGGTCAAATCCTTAGAGTTCTATGGTTTCAACTTAACGTGAATAAGCTATATTATACCTGGAAGAAATTCTCAAGGCAGTCTTATGGTGTGTATCCTCGCCCTCGTACTCACCTGCTGCCAGGGCTTATGTCCACACTGTCACTAGGAGCAATAGTTATCTTTGTACCATAAGGGAGTGACTCATCAAGTGCGGTACACGAGTTAAGTCTTCAAGAATGTTCGAAGTTATACTTTCCAGACATTAGCCAGATCATGGCTTACATATTGAGGCAAATAATATACTAATAATTAATAACAGTTTGAGAGCAACGATGCTGGAAGTTTGTTATTAGGAAATAACATCACAAAACATGACGATCACTGTTTCCTCTGAGGATGTGTGTGTGTGTGTGTGTGTGTGTGTGTGTGTGTGTGTGTGTGTGTAATAATAATAATAATAATAATTAACGGTTTATTGAAAAAGTTCTGAAAAAGTTCTGCAGCCCAAAGGCTGAAAATATACATTGGACATAAATGACTTATTACATACATTGACATTGGTGGTTTAACAAAAACCTTCATTAGAGAAAGGTAAAGGAAAATACAGTGAACATACAGATTAATGTTTACAGTGGAGGTCACGTTGATCATGTGTGTGTGTGTGTGTGTGTGTGTGTGTGTGTGTGTGTGTGTGTGCGTGTGTACGAAGTTGTGTATCTATGCACACAGGGTGGTGTAATGCGTCTAGTGTGGCAGCATTATGTTAGTGTTAAGGTGAGAGGTCTCCTTGCTCCCTCTTGCTTCCAGCTACCGCCGCTGGCTAGCCCTCGTGTTGAATAGGGTAGCAACTTGCACAAGTCTTCCCCTGCCAGTACACAGCCTCTTCACCATCAAGACTCCTGCTATTCCTCCTCGTGGCAACACACGGTAACTGGGTGCCTCGTGGGCCCAGGCTAGACCAGCAGGGGATCTCGGAGTAGCAGTGGGCCCCAGGGAGACGGCGCATAGGCCCACTGGCATGTGGACACGTCCTGGCGCCTACCAACCACTGCCCCGCTGTCTTGCGGATTAACCTTGGTAGGTATAAGGCTACGGGAGTAAACCCCAATCTGCAGTGGAGCCCCGTATCAGGCAGACATGCTTACAGAGCTCTAACAGGACCCCAACGGTGATATAGGCGGAAGAGGTGACCACCATGGGAACCCAACGACTACACCGGCGGACGAAGGCAATGCCTGATGGACAGGCTACTAAGGCGAAACCCAGCAAACTGGGCTATCGGCAGTCCATTGCAACTCTCGTTCTCCCCAGTCATTGCAACATTTGCACCACTCACGTGCAGCCATCATCCAGCTCATCATACTCATCATCATCATCAAAACCCCTATACCCCAAAAAGTTCTATGGCGACGGACGAGTGGCGACGGGGATAGGCAGAGATGACTGCCTGGAGTCTCTAGTCACAACTCTGCACATGGGCGGCACAGATAAGATGGTCTTTTATACGCTGAGATCTTGGCAGCAGTGCAATCTGGTCCTGTCTGTGAGACTGAGCAGCCCTTTCGAGGAGCCACTCTGCTCACCCCACATGGGGAAGGGGCTAGAAAAGGTGCCCTAAGCATAGCCTGCCTAGAGAACCAACCTGACTGGGCAACCGCACCCAGTAAGGTCATCCTTATGAAGGTTGAAAACACAATCACAATCACAGATCAAAACAAAAACAAACTATGCAACTTCTTATGGTCACTGCATGGAATGTCAGGATCCTTCTGGATACTGGCATAAATGAGCGTCCTGAAAGAAAAACCGCCCTTGTGGCAGAAGAGCTGGCTAGGTGTAACATCGACATAGCAGCCATTAGTGAGTCCCGGCTCCCAGACAAAGGTCGACTCACAGAACGGGAGTCTGGCTATACCTTCTTCTGGAAGGGTAAGCTTGCTGCGGAGAGAAACCACATTTATGGAGTTAGCGTTGCCATCCGCCAACGCATCCTAAACAGGCTAACTAAAATGCCTGTCGGGATTAACGAGTCCCACTGAATCACTCACGTCATGCCTTTTTCATCAGTGCATTCGCCCCAACACTGGATTTGAGGATGACATTAAGGAGGCCTTTTACTCTGTCCTCGACAGAGTGCTAACCTCTATCCCCAGAGAAGATAAGGTGGTGCTCCTTGGTGACTTCAATGCCAGAGTTGGCAGAGATGCTGACATTTGGCAGAGAACCATAGGGAGAAATGGACTAGGTAAGTGTAATCCTGACGGCCTACTCCTCCTCAGCAAGAGTCAATCTCACTATCACCAATACCTTGTTTAGGCAGACTAACAAGTTCAAGGATTTGTGGCAACACCCACGATCCAGACACTGGCATCTCACTGACTACATCATTGTCAAAGAAAGAGATCGCCGAGATGTCCTCATCACCCGAGCCATGTGTGGCTCAGACTACTGCGACACTGATCATCGGCTCGTCAGAGCCCTAAAACGGAGAGGACAGCAAGTCTCCAGAAGAGGTTTTAACACTAAGCGCCTGGAGGATCCAGCGGTAGAACATGCTTTAAGAGAGCAGCTCGAACATGGGCCGATAAACAACCCAACAGCAAACAACCCAAATCCCAGTGCCGAATGGGATATTCTCGACACTGTCATGACAAAAACCTGCAGAGACCTTCGGCCAAATCGAAAGAATACACCAGGACTGGTTTGATGAAAATGACCCGGAAATCAGTATACTCGTCGATGACAAATGTGCTGCTGTAACTGACCGGCAGAACAACTCTCATTCTCGGACCAAAGCTGATTCCATACACAAGAAGAAAGCCGCGGCCCAGCTTGAATTTCACAATCTGAAAAACGACTGGTAACCCCCCAATTAAAGACAAAGAAGGAATCCTTCAGCGCTGAAAAGAGCATTACCATTTATTGCTTAACTGAAACACCGATGTAAATGTGTATGCACACTTTGGCCTTGAGGTATGTAATACTTAGATTCTCTTTCAGCATGCCCTTGGTTCAACCACACCTACACCATCCATCCAGCTTAACGGTGCTACCCTCTCAAATGCTACCTACTTTCGGTATCTCGGCTCCCACCTGTCTACCACTGCGGACATCGATGAAGAGATTCAACATCGGATCAGATGTGCAATCTCAAGCCCTTGGCAGACTCCGTACCCGTGTCTTCAGCTGTAGGGAACTGAAATTATCTACAAAGATGCACGTATATCGAGCACCTCAATGCATGTGAAAACTTTCACCAACATAGTCTATGTTCCATCCTCCGAGTTCGCTGGGAAGACAAGAGTAAAAATGCCAGTATTTTCGCTGAATCCAACTGTAGGAGTAACGAGGCTACCAATATCCAGGAACAACTATTCTGGACTGGCCATGTTACCCGCATGGACTGCAGTAGACTACCAAAGCAGCTACTTTGCAGTCACCTGACAAATAGTAAGCGTAATGCTGGCGGGCAACTGGAAAGGTATAGGGATAGTCTTAAGACAAACCTGAAAAAGTACCAAATCGACCCCCTGACCTGGAAGACACTTACTCCACACCGTAACGCTTGGAGGAGCTCCACACAAGAAGGTGTCTATACTTTCGTGTTAACCCGACTACAAACCGAGGCAGACACGCACGAACGTCGGAAAGACGCTGCCGCTGCGTCTCCCACACTAGATGTAGCCTCCCACACGTGCAACATCTGTGAATGACCCTGCCTGTCCCGTATCGGCCTCTTTAGTCACCTCAGAACTCCCCAACGTAGGTGACATCCCTAATAATTCATATCATTGTGTCATATCTAGATGATCGTCATACACGATTCCGAGTGAAAGTAAAGTAGAAATAGTGTATGCGAGCTGATGCTAAGGCACGGTTTTAGATTAACTTGTATTTCATATATAAAGTATGACACCATCGTTACCTGTAAATAAGTTGCAATTCACTTGTAGTTGTTCTGTTGTCTCACAATAATGGTTATTAATTTGATTGATGTCTGCCTGCGCCTTCACTCAACACCCACGTCTTTAGTCGTTCAAGTGCCCCTTTAGCACATGTATGTCATAGAGGTCCGAACAGGTGGGGTAGATGGTGCTTGTGTCACCGAGAAGGTAGAGTATACAGGGCATGGAAGGGCAGGGGGTGTACCTGTCACGGGAGGGTAGGGAGTGTGTCTATTACAGGAGGGTAGGGGATGCATCTGTCACTGGAGGATAGGGGGTGTAGCTGTCACAGGAAGGTAGAGGGTGTGTCTGTCACAGGAGGGTAGGGGATGCATCTGTCACTGAAGGATAGGGGGTGTAGCTGTCACAGGAGGTGGGGTGTGTCTGTCTGGGAGGTGGGGATGCATCTGTCACAGGGGGTGAGGGGTGTAGCTGTCACAGGAAGGTGAGGGGTGTGTCTGTCTCACTTTAGTGGTGGGGATGCATCTGTCACTGGAGGATGGGGGGTGTGGCGCTGTCACAGGAAGGTAGGGGTGTGTCTGTCTCACTGGTGGGTAGGGAATGCATCTGTCACTGGAGGATAAGGGGTGTAATATCACAGGGAAATTAGAGGTGTGTCTGTCTGGGAGGGTAGGGGATGCATCTGTCACTGGAGGATAGGGGGTGTAGCTGTCACAGGAAGGTGGGGTGTGTCTGTCACTGGTGGGTGAGGGATGCATCTGTCACTGGAGGATAGGGGTGTAGCTGTCACAGGAAGGTGGTGTGTCTGTCTGGTGGGTAGGGATGCATCTGTCACGGGGGTAGGGGTGTAGCTGTCACAGGAAGGTAGGGGTGTGTCTGTCACAGGAGGGTAGGGGATGCATCTGTCACGGGGGGTAGGGGGTGTAGCTGTCACAGGAAGGTAGGGGTGTGTTTGTCACTGGTGGGTAGGGGATGCATCTGTCACGGGGGGTAGTGGGTGTTTCTGTTATAGAGGGTAGGGTGTATCTCTCACAGGAGGGTAGGAGTGTATCTGTCACTAGAGGTTAAGAGGTTATATTTGTCTCGGGAGGTTAAGGGAGTGTATGGTTATATAGATGCCCAGAACACGTAAGGTCATAAGATGGTTCAGCACTCACCACACGCCCTGGCGCCCATCTCGAGCAGGTTGGTGTTTCTGTATTGGTAGGCCCGTGTCATGAACACCACGGCGTTCACCCCGATGAACAGGGCAGTGAAGACGAGGGTGGGGGCGTTGTTCCTTGCCCAAATGACCTGGCGATGAAAACTTGTTCTCAGGGGGATGTTCTCCTTTTCCTGCCTCTCCTCGTCCAGCATCACGTCAAGAAATCGTATCCTGAAAGAGAGAGGAAAAATATGTAGTTCTCTTTTACTTGCGTTGACAGGAACCATGGCACGACATTTAAAGCTGAAACGTTTTGATAATAATGTAAAGCCTGAAGTTTAAAATATGCTTTAATGTTGAGAAAACATTTTGGCAGTAAATAAACGTTTTTTTTATAGTAAAATAATTGGTAATTATGATAGTATAAGTTAGTGAAGAAATCTGTTTACTCGGTGATAAAGCCAGGTAGGGGAAACAGTTACAGCAGTGATTGTCCTTGTAAAGAGTAACAGTTCCAATATAATATGGTCCACTTATCACAGGTAGTTATTACAAAGAACAAAGAGGTAAGAGTTTAATATATAAGACGCGGAAGTAAGAAAGAAACAACAGCAAATATTAATTGTAACAGGTAACATTTCCCAGATATAATAGACAGAACTATAACACACGAGCATCAGGTAAATGTCAGGTAGAAGGTATAAAACAATAATTAAGGAAGTGTGCTAATTGCCACAAGCAACTCTGATACCTCATTACCATGCACATTCTCTCTCACTATGGAACAATAATTTGAATACATGTTATTTTTTTAAACATAATAATCATCTACCTGTATGTTGATCAACTGACGGCTCCAACATCAGAGAAAACAAAGAAACATCAGTTTGTAAATAATGAAAATTTCCTCTCGATAAAAAACTTACAAGTTCAAGTCATTAATAAGAACAAAAACTGAATATAAACAACAACTCGTCCACCTTCATGCTGGCGCTGAGGACTGTTAAGTCTTTTCTTACCTGAGGCCTAATTACCAAGGTAATACAAGCTTCCTTGATAGGCAAAAGCCTTCTGAGTCGTAACTACTTCCTATGAACGAGATAGAGCACTACCTTCTGTCATCCTTTCTCCACTAGGTAACCCTAGTGATTCCTAGGTGAACCCCAGTGACCCCCAGGTGAGGGGCGAAAGTAAGAGCACAATTGTATCATTGACCACCACCACCACCCACTGAACCTACAGTGGTGTTAACCTCGGCCTCTGCCACCCTCATGCTATTCTTCCGCCTTCCATTTCTCCTTCACATTTACCCTTCCTATTATTTTTCTCTGTTAGCATCTTTCTCCTTCCTCTTCCTTGCCCTTACTTTCTTCACTGCCTGTAACTATTTTCTTCCCTTATGTTTTCTCTACTTTTCTTCCATCTTTCATCCATCTACCCCATTTATCCTCTTGTTTTTCTCTCTCCCTCTCCCCCTCCTTGTCGTACCTTCATGATGTTTTCTCCTCTCCCCCGCCTCTTCACACCTTAAGTACAGTACATTGTTAAGAGGTCAGGACTGGTAGTCGCCGTATGTGAAGACTATTAACTGGTCACTACCCTTAATATTTCTGCCATACAGAATTAAATTACGGCACACCGAGATGAATTTTGAAAACGATCTCAATAAATATTGTCTTATAAAAAAGGAATTCGAGCACACAGTAATCAGAATATGAAAGTAATTTTAGTTTTAAGGGTGGCGTGTATTCTGTATTGTTTGCTAAACAATGATAACTATAACATCGCTCACAGGACTCCAGGTGAGGCTACCACCTTACATGTGGCTCACTGTAATACAAAAATCATCATTTTAAATGAGTTTGTCATCCTGACAATGTGCAAACTATCTTTGAAAAAATTTGTCATCCATTATTTCAATTTATATATTAATCTATAATGCACATACATACATACATACATACATACATACATACATACATACATACTTGGGACACCCACGCCAGCCTGGTCGTCTTCTCTCAACTCCACCCAACAACGTCGGCTAGAAAAGGTACAGAAAAGGGCCTGCAGAATCATGCTCGGCACAGAATACTCGGGCTACAACAACGCTCTCTCCACCCTGGAAATGCCATCCCTCAGTGACCTCCACCACCAAGCACTGGAAAGGTTTGGCAGCCAACTAATGCACCACCCTCATCATCGCCACCTCCTGCCACCTGCAGCCCCCCACCCACCTGGCGCAGTCCGCCACTACAACAAAATTCAGCCCACAAGAGCCCGCACCGATAGATATAAGAACAGAACCATCCCATCTATTGTTAAAATAATAAACAACTCCTGATTTATGTACTGTACAGCCCTGTAAATGTATTCAACACAGATTATATCATTATGTCTAAATCAAATGTAAGTCTGTATATTTTCAGCCACAGGCTGCAACTCTATTAATAAACCGTTTATTATTATTATTATTATTATTATTATTATTATTATTATTATTATTATTATTATTATTATTATTATTATTATTATTATTGTTATTATTATTATTATTATTATTATTATTATTATTATTATTATTATTATTATTATTATTATTACATACATACATACATACATACGTGCAAGTAAATCATGTACGCATTCCGGAAATTTTTCACTCAAGAGGGTCACATCCTGGGGTGTTTAGTCCCAACACCTTGGACGGCCACACTACTTACTGACAACCCTAGTCTATAACTCCGGGTTCTCTTAATGAATCTTATCTTCCTGTTTTGGGACGAATAGTATGATAATTGACACACACACACACACACACACACTGTTACGACCGTGTCGTATTTTTCTATTTTTTTTATATATAACATGCTTCCATGTTCCATATTATTCCTGTAATGATGTGTTAAATTTACTATTATATATTCTAGTCACCTTACCCTGTGCTGTTAAGGTTTTAACTGTCATTATTTGTTCAAGCCCATCTTATTTCTTTATTTAGTATTGTAACAAGTATTCTTTGTTCTCTAACGACCATCTGCATCGTTAAACGACCCACCGGCGGGTCGCGTGGCGGGAGCCGACCTTATATATAGGACCCACCAACTGACGGAGTTAGTTCAGTCCTCTTGTCATACAGTTCACATCCTTTGAGTGACACTCGTCACCTGTTACTTATACTTAATTTATTTGTGTTGTTCCTGTCGCCACCAATGTGGTATATCTATGTGAGTACCTATTTATGTCTCTATTTATGTCCATCAGTATTTGCTTAGTTACATTTAAGTAATTCAGTGTTGTTTCACGTTAGTTAATTTCAGTGATAGTTTTTATATGTTTATGCAGTGTTAACGTAATCCAATGCTTTATTTTTATTCTTTTGATGTTTCGATGTTTAGTATCATTTGTGTCTTAAAAGTTTCGATGGTGAATCAATTTGTTGTGACAGCCTACGAGGCTCTTTATTGTGTTAATATTTAATTAATTAAGTTCTTAAAGGTTTACTTTATTTATTTTTATTCCCTTTTAATTTACTTCACTTTTGTTGTTTGGTTACGCCTAGAACCTGGATATTGAAGTAAATTAAGAGACGGCGTAACAACACACACACACACACACACACACACACACACACACACACATTAAAAATATAGCTCGACTAAATTAATGTGTAATTGATATAAAAATATCTAAGATGCAGTTTTGTAAGTGCAGACCTCAATGTTCTCTAGTGATGACCTGCGACCTTCACTGTGCCGGTCAGCCGTCACCACAGGGTCAACCAATATTGATGAGTTAATTTACCGCCACTTTCTACCAATACATAAACAAAAAAATGTGGTGAATATTACTGTCACTGGCACACGTAAATAGATGCAAGATTATTGAATGTAATTTAAATGATAAATCAACATGTACAAGAGAAAGACAGTCACACAAACAGACACAACAGAGGTCCACATCACCCTGGACACGTAAACTTCTCGCTACATATCGTGTTTAGTTGCTGTAATGTGAGTGATGGGACAAGTATTGTATGGACGTAAACAAGGAACTTCCATTATTTACTCAAAAATATCAACACCTGATACTTTGATACCGTACAAAATTTAGACAAGTACTTTTATTTTTTTTTTAGTCAGACAAGTGGAATTAACCCTTCACCTGCCCTCAAGGGAATATATCTTTAAAGATTGTGTATATCACCTCCACAACACAAATAAACTAACAGAGGGATTCTTACATCATAGCGACCTTGATTTTTATTTTTATGAGACATAAGTATGTGCCTCTGTACCAGTGAGGACAAACAGATGCATTGTACTTCCAACAATCAGTTTCTTTTCTTTTCATCAAACTTTGAACACATTGTAAAGGCTCGAGGCCACGATGTTAGGTTACATCACCAATGACTCTCTCAACATCCATAAGTCCCTGAAACATTTGGAACTGATCACAAAATTCAACATCCAGTTAACATCTGAAGAAAGGCTAATTGCACTTGAATCTTTGCATTTCTGGCCATAATATTTCAAGGTTTAAAAGACTTGTCAGTGACGAGTTCAACAACAGTTACAGCGAGGACTTAAATCCACAACAGATGGAATTCTTGAAAACCTTTTATTCTCACTACCTCTACTTACTTATGTATATTCACCAATAAAAGCCGAAATTGCGAGTGTTATTGTAAAATTGTTTTCTGTAACCGAGTTTATTTTCTCGTAAATTATATTTTAATGAACAATGGCCGCCATTTTGACCTTATGGGATCATGAGACCTGAAAATTTGGAAAGTCGCTAAAGTGATAAAATTCAGCATTGAGATAGACGGGAGGAGACTTGAGGAAGGGGAAGACATGAGGGACAGGCGACGGGAGGAAACGGGTATTTCCTTTTTTGTTGAGCTCGGACGTTTTTCCCTGTCTGTCTGTTTTTGTCTCTTAAGTCTTATTGTTCCCCCTCTCATTCTATTCCTGCCTCCTCTTTCAGACACCCTTTTTTGTCTATCTCATATTTTATCTTTCTTTGTGACCCGTTCATAAATGCTACAGTATATCTAAATGAGTCACTAGGGTAAGTTTGTCACCTAACTGGCGTAAACCCTTTAGAGAGCAACGGCACACTGCGTGTTTTATTCGGGTGAAAGAAACCCTTACCCTCTAAAGGTTAAGTCAATTAATACACTTCAGGTAGTCTTAGTATAACTTTGACATCAGTTTGTGTTTTATCTA